CATATTTTCCAATCCTTTAATCTTTCTCATGGCTCTCCCCTGAACCCTCTCTAATTTATTAACATAACCTTGTGTGGACACCAAAACTGGACACAGTATGCAAGTACTGCCAAATACAGATGTAATAGGACCTCCCAACTCCTACCTAATATTCTCCCATTCATTAATCCAAGGATTGCATTAACCCTTTTGGCCACAGCAGTGCAGTGGGAACTCATGGTCACCTGATATCCATCATGACATCCAAGTCCTTTTAAGAGTCACTGCTTTCCAGAATACAGTTCCCCATCTTGTAAGTATGCCTACACTATATCCTGAATGATCATCAACTGGGAGAAAGTTGTATGTTGGGGGTAGGCCACTTGTCAGGGGTAGTATGATTGTGTTCATTACTGGTTTCTGAGACTTGGGTTTGAGGATTCTGGGGAGGGGTGGGGTCACAGAGGGATTTGTGGGAGTCCAAGCATGCAGAGGTGCAGCAAAACCAGTTAGGCAGCTGGTTTGGGGAACAGGCTGCAAGCTAAGGGGTGTGAAGGGGTTTGTATGAGACAATGAGTGGATGAAATATTTCAACTATACACACACAATATGATGGGGGCTAATTTAGCTACAACTAATCAGGAAAGAGATCTTGGAGTCATCGTGGATAGTTTTCTGAAGACGTTCACGCAGTGTGCAGCGGCAGTCAAAAAAGCAAACAGGGTGTTAGGAATCATTCAAAAAAGGATAGAGAATAAGACAGAGAATATATTATTGCCCTTATATAAATCCATCGTACACCCACATCTTGAATACTGCATACAGATGTGGTCTCCTCACCTCAAAAGAGATATACTGGCATTAGAAAAGGTTCAGAGAAGGGCAACTAAAATGATTAGGGGTTTGGAACAGGTCCCATATGAGGAGAGATTAAAGAGGCTAGGACTTTTCAGCTTGGAAAAGAGGTATATAAAATCATGAGTGGTGTGGAGAAAGTGAATAAGGAAAAGTTATTTACTTGTTCCCATAATATAAGAACTAGGGGCCACCAAATGAAATTAATAGGCAGCAGGTTTAAAACAAATAAAAGGAAGTTCTTCTTCACACAGCGCACAGTCAACCTGTGAACTCCTTGCCTGAGGAGGTTGTGAAGGCTAGGACTATAACAGGGTTTAAAAGAGAACTGGATAAATTCAAGGTGGTTAAGTCCATTAATGGCTATTAGCCAGGATGGGTAAGGAATGGTACTCCTAGCCTCTGTTTGTCAGAGGATGGAGATGGATGGCAGAAGAGAGATCACTTGATCATTACCTGTTAGGTTCACTCCCTCTGGGACACTTGGCATTGGTCACTGTCGGTAGACAGAATACTCGGCTGGATGGACCTTTGGTCTGACCCAGTATTGCCATTCTTATGTTCAGTTTATTAATTCTGCCAGGTAACGTGAATTTACAAATGCAAATGAGCAATGATAAAAATAGTGAACTCGTTACACAGAGTCCCTAAAATTCTAATCTATTGTACTATATGTGGATCAGTAAAACTGACGGATGAATTTAGTTACATACACAGCAGGATAACAAACATCTGTAAAAAAGAAAAACTTGGAAAATTAACAGATGGAAACATTTAGAATATGAAAACTAAAAGGTTCTTATTACAAAAGGAGACATGTATCAACTGTGTGGGTGGACAAAACAATCCATATGGAAAAAGAGAAACTGAATCATTAGGACAGTGGTAAATAGATGGCAAGACTCTTGAACAAAAATTACAATGTGTCCTTTGTTTAAAATTAATTTAAAAACACAAAAAGCTAATTATTTGACTAGGCAGTGTAATGTAAATTTTCTTATTTAAAATATAACCATATGCCAAAACACTGTTTACTTCTAGTCCCAGACTTATTTTTATATACAATATTTCTTGAATTTACTTGAATAATACAATATACTTGGCTGAATCATTGTCATGCTTAGCTGAAGTACTTATTATTAAGATGATAAACAGTGTTTTAGACACACAAGGTTCTCTTTATTGTACCTGTTCTGTTATTCAAGCTTCAATTATCAAGAAGACCAAAGTATAAAACTTTTAAAAATAGCACTTGCGGTATGTAATTGAGTCAAATACTGTTCATGCGATGTAAAAGCTACGTCTCTCCTCATGCCCACAACTGATGAACAGTGAGAAAATCTGCTTTAGTATTATGATTTTTACTACTTTTTCTTGGAGGATCACTTTGCTCTGCATTAAGAAAATTAAGGAAAAAAACAATGGTGAAATAAAAAAGGAGTATTCATTATCTCACAACAGTTATTCATACATGCTTCATCGTAAGACAGCACTTTACTGCTATATGAAACTCAAATAGAAAGGATGGGAGCTTTAGAGGTATTCAGCACTGACCTAACTCTGCTGTCACTGAAGTCAATGGTAAAACTGATATTGACTTCAATGCAAGCAATTAGGCCAATGCCAAACCCTTTTGAAAATCCTAATAAATATTTTGGTGGATGTTTATCCTACTCCATTCTTACCAATGATGAGATGATCCCTCCCATTACTCAGGCTTTCAATCGTGGTGTCATTTTAGACTCTCCTTACTTCCATGCACTTGATAATTCCTGCTGCTTCTTACTATACCATATCTAGAAAAAAAATCATCCTTCTGTCTCCAATCCAATTGCCAAGAACAGAATCCACGCACTAGTTTTTATATCTTGACTACTGCAACCTTCTGCTATACCATTCTCTCTCCACTGCAGTTCAGTCCATCTAAAATATTGCTACCAAGTGATTTTACTTTCCCAGAACTCTAGGCCTTCCTCCCCAACCTCTTTTCTAATCCCACAAAAAATTCAAACTTCTTCTCTTAACCTACAAGGATCCCCATACCCCTCCTTCTGCGAACAATTCTACCCTCATCTCCTCCACTACACCCATCTCTCTCTTTGCTCACTCTCAACTCTGCATCTTCTTGCCTGTCACCATTACATTTAGAACATCACTCTCTTCCTTTCCAAAACCTTTTAATATCCACTTTTTCCAAAGAGCTTTTTTCCAGTTATGGCTACCAGCTACTCTGCTTTTCTAAGGCCTAAAACTTAGGTCTACACCTAAAACTTAGGTCGACCTAACTATATCACTCAAGGGTGTAAAAAATTCACACCCTGAAAGACGGAGTTATGACAACCTCAGCCCCAATATAGACACCACTAGATCCACAGGAGAATTCTTCCATTGATCTAGCTACCACCTCTCGGGGGAAGGGGGAGGAATTTCCTACAGCAATGGAAAAATCTCTCCCATTGCTGTAGCAAATGTCTGCACTACAGGGGTACAGCTGAAGGTTTGCGTCTGTAGAACTTGTAGTGCAGACACACCTTAATACTCGGTAGAGTATTTTGAACTGCCCTAGCTTATGCCCTTAGACTGATAGTCCTTTGGGATAAGGAACCTGTTAATTGTGGCACAGCTCTCCCACCATACTGCTTTACATACATTTATGTCACCATATATAACAGTGGTTCTCAAACTATTGTACTGGTGACCCCTTTCACAGAGCAAGCCTCTGAGCGCGTCCCCCCTTATAAATTAAAAACACTTGTTTATATATTTAACACCATTATAAATGCTGGAGACAAAGCGGGGTTTGGGGTGGACACTGACAGCTCACGACCCCCCATGTAATAACCTCGCGACCCCCTGAGGAGTCCCGACCTCCAGTTTGAGAACCCCTGATATATAACAACTATTACCCCAAACTATGAAAAATGTACAGATTTACCTTTAGGTAAATTTAAGCTTTCCTAAGAAACACCTAACTAGTAATAGAATACATCCAAGATACGGCAAAATATTTATGGAGTTATCTAAAAAAGGGAGAAGTTGATATTTCAAGAGAGACTTTTATTCAGCTGCTCAGAGAGGGGAGCAGATGGGACCACACAAGGGAAAAGAAATGCTTAATTATGGAGAGTTCTGAGGACTAGAGTAGCACAAATTTATCCTACTGAAACTCCGCTGAAGAAGGACAATACATGCAGACTGTGACGCAACTCTGACCTTTAAGCGGATGGTCAGTCCACATTGCTCAGGTTGAAAGTAGATGCGAAATGCTGCTTCAAGCTTATTCAATTTATGAATATACCTTATAATTAAAGACATTTCCCCATGCTGCCACTCCCTTAACTTTCAAAAGTTCAACTATTCACAGAATGTTAAAGTAAACACAGTATTAGCACTAACAATTATTAGCAAAACATTTTATCTTTAAACATGTGCAACTTTCAGGATACACTGGACAGTGCATAAACATTGACTGAAAAGAGAAAAATGGAAATAGCCTTACGTTCTTTATTTAAAATAAATTATAGACTGGGGTGCAGCTTGTAAAAGCTATCTAGTGTTAATCCCTTACCAATCATGCTTTAAGATATGTTTTACAACATTCTTTTAGTTCTGTGTCTGCCAAGGCTACATTTTGTTATGCAAGACCTTTCTGCAAGCGTGCTACTTTAGGACTTGAAATTCCTTATAAACTTGTAGAATGTTGTTGCTCAATATATCTGAATGGAAGCTCTAGCTTTACAGAAAGCTGCTCTGAGCCTAGTTTACTCTGCCACTTAAACATGTAACTTAAACCTACGGTGATAGTACCTAGTAAAGTTGCACACTGCAACTAGTTTGTCAGCTACATAAACTCATCTTGTCATGAACTTATAGGCAAAGTACATCATATCACATAGTATTATGTCTTAAAAAGGTAAACTGTACAGGAGTTCCTTATTATACTGTTATGCAGAGACACTCAAATCACCAAAACATCTTGTTTATGTCTTGGTTTCAACCTCTTGCTGATAATGCTGACAGGAATCATTTCAGGGAAGAAATTCTGTTGACATACATTATGGTTGCAACATAATTGATTTGACACATTTAACTGAGTCAACAGTCAGTACCCCATTACACTAGTAAAGCAAGCCTAAACGACAGCAATTTGTTCTGGAAATACTTACTTCTGATGAGGTCACCATCAGTGCGATTTCCCCAGACAGACTGGTCTTGTATCTCTGGCTGTATGCTTTGGTTACTGGAAGGTGGTGTTATGTCTCTCTCTCCTACAGCTGTATTCACTTTGTCACATTTTTCTAAATCAAAGAAAAACATATTTTAATTTCAAATCACTGATAACAGTAGTAAGTATTGTTATTCTCCCTTTTAAATAATTCACAATAATGTTAGTTTTCAACCAGTTTTCCCATCATTTTTGCTCATCAGATTAGTTCTTTAACGAAAGTCTTTCAGTGGGCTTGCATTTTACATGTTAACATGCAAATATACCTTAAGAAGACAGTTTAATGGCAAACTGTGTTTCAAGTTTAACAAAGTTTATTTACCTTCCAAAACAACATTTTCAGATAAAACCTCGTGTACAAACTACTTGCTATGTCTGAATTTCATAAAAGCTACAGGAACTATGTCAAAGGTCAGAGATTCAACATATGACCAAGGACTTTTATTGACTAATAGCCAAAACTGAAGGAGACAAAAATCCCATGGTAACAGAACTTTCAGTTGTTTTTTTAAAGATATGAAAAGCCATTGTTGAATTAAAATGAATTTCTAATCAAATTTACAAAATGCTGTTCTTTTTGTAATAAACATGCTCCAACCGTAAGGAAGCTTACTTCACGGTGTTGGCCAAGAGACTTTTAAGCCTTCTTTACAAGTACTATGGAATTCAACAGTAATATGTTCACATGTAGCTTCCCATATGAAGTTTCTTCCTGCTGACAAGCACTGACCCAGATTTTCACTCACCAAAATAAATGAAAGCTTTCATAGGTATCTTCCATAGGCAATTATTTTATTCACAACACATCAGTCACTGATAGATCACCAGTTTAAAAATCTATATTCCATGTTAAAATGGTTCATAAAATACTGCACTTAGATTTCAAGTTGAAGTAATATTTCAAACTGCATAACATTTTTGAAATGTGTTTTATAATGTGTGCTATTTAAAGCTATTTTAAAATAAAGTGAGCTACCACTTGTTGAATAAGTGGGGGGAAATGGCATGAAATTCTTAATGTTGTTACTTTTATTAATTTACTGTATCTCTAGCACACAGATAACAATTTAAATCATTTTAAAAGATTTTGCTCTTAAACTAACCAGAGTAGCAAAATTAAGAAGATTTGACACCAATCATGAATTGCTGGAAAACTATTGATGTTTCACTGTGCAGCGGTAACTGTTTTGTATAAGATGTGATGATGCACAACCCTATTTAAAATCTTGATGTAGAATTAATTTCATATTTTGAATTTGGATGGAAGTATATTTTGCAGGGAAAGAGGAGGCTGCTGGATGTCATTTTCAGAACTTGGAGAATTCTGATGTAGTAAATGATATTAAACAACAGTCCTACTGAAAGAATAACTGTATTTTGGGGCAGTCAAAATTCCAAATTAAATTTTAGTCAAGTGAACGGGAATTCTGAGTGTAGAACCAACCATAAGAGTCAAATTTCCTTAGATGTTACCACACTTACAGCAGTTTTCATTCAGTCTTAAGTAGACATCTTCCCAATATCAAAAGTCTGCTATGGTCAGTGGAATAGTTCATAATTCAAGAAATTCTAGGAGTCCCAGTGAAGCAGGATTACTACAGTCCAAGTCCAATCTGGGTACAGTGTTCTTTTATGGCCCCAGGATAGCATCCCGATTCACGTAAGAACTAAAGCATGCAAAGTCAATGGGACTTTGAGCACATGCTTGAAGTTGAGAATGTGCTTGAGTGCTTTCCCGAGGCACTGAACATTAATTCTTCTTTTTTCAAACACTAAATTAATTTCATATTTTGAATTTGGATGGAAGTATATTTTGCAGGGAAAGAGGAGGCTGCTGGATGTCATTTTCAGAATTTGGAGAATTCTTGATGTAGTAAATGATATTAAACAACAGTCCTACTGAAAGAATAACTGTATTTTGGGGCAGTCAAAATTCCAAATTAAATTTTAGTCAAGTGAACGGGAATTCTGAGTGTAGAACCAACCATAAGAGTCAAATTTCCTTAGATGTTACCACACTTACAGCAGTTTTCATTCAGTCTTAAGTAGACATCTTCCCAATATCAAAAGTCTGCTATGGTCAGTGGAATAGTTCATAATTCATTACCTTTAATTTTACTTTTCTATTAGTTTTATACTCATTTCCCAACTTCTTTTCATTGCTGAGGATTAAACCATACTTGAATTCTCTCATTTTTGTTTCCTCTGTTTGAAAAACTATGATGGTATATACGGTATACCACTGCTAGCCAGCACTACTTAATTGGCTAGTCTGTGAACCAATCCTGAAATTGTGAATAAATTGTTAACATCAGGAGAACAAAGGTGCAACATTTAAGAAAGGAGTGTGGCAATTAACCAGTAAAATAACTCTTGATCTGAGGATTATCCAAAAATGAATATCTTAAATTGCTGAAGGGATATCAAAGGACAGATGCAGCATAACACCATTAACTTCACCAAGTGAGGATCTGCCCCCAAATGTCCACAGACAAAGTTTATCCCAACATTTTTTCAAATTTCACAGTGAAAGTAATAACCATTGACTTACCTTCTCGTTTCCCTCTCCTTCCTACCCCCCCCCCCACCCCAGCAGAATATCTAAATTTATTTATTTAATGGGAATTTTCCCCATAATTGAGATCTTAGGCTTCTTGGATTGCATTACTAGGCTTCAAATAATGGAGAAAAATCTTGGATTCTCTATTAGACTAACACCTGTCAGGAATGGTCTAGATAAGTCCTACCATGAGTGCGTTTTGTTATGAAACATACCTGAAAGCAAGGTCAATAAATTAAAGCATTACAATGACTATTACCAACAATCCAAGCAAATGCTTAAACCTTGGTTGATGTGTCATACCTACTCAGAAAGTTTTCCCAACAGAGCCTAAAGCTGATATGAGAGCAATGGCATGCTCAGGCAGTAAACAGGTGCACTCCTTTTTCATGGGTTTTCTGTAGGAACTTATAACACTTTTCTGGTTCAAACAAGTTTGGTCTTGAGAATTCTCTCTCTGTATACTAGCCTTCTCTTCTCCATTACATCCTTCAACCTATATGAAATTAACCCCCAAAATTGACAGCCAGTAGGAAAAAGAGATGCTCTTCAACTCAGCTTAATTCCAAACTCTAACATCCTAGATATTTTGTTTGATATTCATTAAAATGCGTTCATCCAAAAAAACTCTCTCTCTTCAAAACTTCTGTAAGTTTTTTCAAATGATACAATAAAAGCATCATACCCTTTCCATGGTTATTACTGTTATTCAATTGTATTATACTACTGACTCAAGATCAAGTCCTTCTTGTACTAGGAACTGCTGCTTTAAAAAAACAAAACAAAACAAAAACAGTCCCCAAGAGCTCAGAACTAGACCCACAAAAGTACTTATTCATTACAACTTTTAGCTGACCTGGTTCTCAGTAGAATCCTTGGATTTAGGCAGCAAAACTGGCGATTAGGTACCTAAATCCCTTTGTTGATCTAACTACAGTCTAAAGCCCTGACAGAATCATAGAAACGTAGGACTAGAAGGGACCTCGAGGTGTCATGTAGTCCAGTCCCCTGCACTCATGACAGGACTAAGTATTATCTAGACCAGTGTTTCCCAAATTTGGGACACCACTTGTGTAGGGAAAGCCCCTGGTGGGCCGGGCCGGTTTGCTTACCTGCCCCGTCCGCAGGTCCGGCCAATCGCGGCCCCCAGTGGCCGCGGTTCGCTGCTCCAAGCCAATGGGAGCTGCTGGAAGCGGCGGCCAGGGGCTTTCCCTACACAAGCGGCGTCCCAAGTTTGGGAAACACTGATCTAGACCATCCCTGACAGGTGTTTGTCTAACCTGCTCTTAAAAATCTCCAATGATGGAGATTCCACAACCTCCCTAGGCAATTTATTCCAGTGTTTAACCACCCTGACAGTTAGGAATTTTCTTCTAATGTCCCACCCAAACCGCCCTTGCTGCAATTTAAGCCCATCGCTTCTTGTTCTATCCTCAGAAGTTAAGGAGAACAATTTTTTCTCCCTCCTCCTTGTAACAACCTTTTATGTACTTGAAAACTGTTATCATGTCCCCCCTCAGTCTTCTCTTCTCCAGACTAAACAAACCCATTTTTTTCAATCTTCCCTAATAGCTCATGTTTGCTAGACCTTTAGTCATTTTTGTTGCTCTTCTCTCAACTTTTTCCCAATTTGTCCACATCTTTCCTGATTGTTCCTTCCTAAGTGGAGTACTTTGCATTTGTCCTTATTGAATTTCATCCTATTTACTTCAGACCATTTTTCCAGTTTGTCCAGAACATTTTGAATTTTAATCCTATCCCTCCTAAGCACTTGCAACCCCTCCCAGCTTGGTATCGTCCGCAAACCTTTACAGATGTATCCCAGCCCTGTGGACATGAATCATTTCACTGGTACTATGCATATGAAACTGAAAGCTGAAGTAGGTTTACAGGAAAAGCTACAGTTATTCATTTATGAGTTTCTGCTTTTCATTTGGTGCTACTTTAGAACCAACACTGACAACTATGAAGTAAACCAATTTCACAAAAATAATAAGCCAGATAATTTTATATCTGGAAACACACAAAGTAAGTACTTAACTAGTTTGGAAAAAAATAACTATAATTGCCCAACAGTTGAAAAAAAAATCCCCATTACTCATAACACTCAGAAACTGCTGGTAAAGTGTGACTATTACGGCAACTGGAGTAGCTAGCTGTAACCTTAAGAAATTCTAGGAGTCCCAGTGAAGCAGGATTACTACAGTCCAAGTCCAATCTGGGTACAGTGTTCTTTTATGGCCCCAGGATAGCATCCCTATTCACGTAAGAACTAAAGCATGCAAAGTCAATGGGACTTTGAGCACATGCTTGAAGTTGAGAATGTGCTTGAGTGCTTTCCCGAGGCACTGAACATTAATTCTTCTTTTTTCAAACACTAAATTAATTTCATATTTTGAATTTGGATGGAAGTATATTTTGCAGGGAAAGAGGAGGCTGCTGGATGTCATTTTCAGAATTTGTCTCTTTATTTCTTCTATTTTTTCAGCCGAAGTGTTTGAATCGGTTTCAAC